GTTGTTTTAGGGATTCAATGGTTTTGCTTCAACAAAATGTGTTTTTAGTAGATATTCTTATAGGGATTACAGGCGTGAACCACTACACCTGGCTCCTGAGCATATTTAAGTGGATATTTTTCCACTAAAAATAATTCCAATCTTTTTTCTTACATTCAAATATGTGCATAATGGATCCATCTTTTCTCCTACCTATTGTATTCAATGCTTTTTGCATTGAATAGTCATATTTGGTATACAGTAGGATCTCAGCTAAATATTTTACGGAAATGGTGTAACATGCTGAAATGATATGATGTGGGACTATCAAAGTGAGCAGTTTTTATATCAACATTAGATGAACGAAAAAGAAGAAAGACTAATGACAAGAATAATGTGGCAGTAATCATACACCAGCTGGTTAGTGACACATATAAACCCAGAGAGGTCCTTGATCAAAACAGCACAATTTTGAATGACAACCGAAGTGAGTATATGCACAAGGAGCCTTCAGTAGGGCTCAGCTGTTATCTGTTGTGCTGTTGGATGAAGAAAAGTATTTTTATAGACGCACAACACTCCTACATCTTTTGGATTTGTTCAGTGCTTACGTGCTGGTTTGCACAGGTCTGTGTCTATTTCAGGTCTTCCTCACTAATGGCAGCTTGCCCAAAGGAGGCAATTTTAGTGTCCAGTGTTCTTTTTTTATTTTATGAGATCCTTTCTCTATGGAATGCTTATTCTTTAGAATTAAATAGGAGTCTAAGAATAACCATTGTTTTCCTCCCTTCCATCTCAGCAGTCAATCTGTCGAGACAGGTGGGAAATCAAGAAGAAAGTAGTAGCTTAGGGTTAGCTTGCTAGTGGGTCTTTCATCTGGCTCAGCAACTTTTACACCTGAGTATATCAGCACAATTTAAAAAAAAAGCAAAGAATAATTGTTTTTTTTTAATAGTTTTTAACCCATATATAAATTATAAAAGTAGTTGCTAACATTTTAATTCCTTAAATTCATTTAATTCCTTAATTTCTCTAGATGCTGATGGAGGAAAAAGAAGAGTATTATTCTTAATATGCATGTAGGGCTATTTTATATTAGGTGAGCTCATAAAATAAGTCTGTTTTCTTGACTGTAAAACTGGATTGGGTCTATGAAATTCCATTTTGAATAATGATTATTATACTGCCCTTTCTTGACAAGAAAGCATAGTCAACAGCATAACTGTATGTTTTCTTTGGATAGCTGTACATATTAACAATTGGAATGACCTGCTCGTTAAACTGGCAAACACCAGGTCATTGTGTTCTGTATGGATGCAGAATATGAGTGGTTTTTTTGGTGGTGGGGGTGGGGGTGAGGGGTACTGGGGGGTTGAACTCAGGGCCTCATACTTGCTAGGCATGTGCTTTACCACTTGAGCCACTCCACCAGACCTTTTTTGTTTTGGGTATTTTTGAGATAGGGTCTCTCATGAACTATTTGCCTGAGTTGGCTTCAACCCTTGATTCTCCTAATCTCTGCCTTCTGAATAGAATTGGCATGAGCCACTGGTGCCCAGCAGAATAAAGGATTTTTGAATGGCAGAGTTCTCTGTAGGGGTTGTGAGTTTACCTGAGTTTTGGTCCATAAGAGATTCCGTCTGATTAAATCAAAGGAAGACTAATGATTTCCTTTGTTCTGAGCTGTTCTCTCACAATCAGCTTTGGACTCTTGTTGGCACTGGAAACATTATAGCCTGTTTCAGGTACTTCAGTGAGTGGTTCAACTGTGTGAGTGTTGAAGAATGAAAATTCAAGCCTTAAAGTATTCCTGGTATCCTTTTCTAAATTTATCCAAACTCTGCTCAGCTAATTTGCTTTTGCCTCTGGAGTTCTTGTTGACTCTAGAAAGGGACTTTTCTTTCCAGTGGAATGAAGCAGGTTCTCGAAGAGCTTATACTAAGTTGAATGTAAGAAACTATATCTGAAGGTTGGATTTAGGATTCTGGAGTTCCTGAGTTTATGCGTATGCTAGAATATAGTTTAACAAAGTCCAAACTTAATTTTATTCATTTACTGATTAATACCTTTTTTTTTGTGGTTCCTGGGTTTAAACTCCAAGGCCTATACCTTGAGCTGTTTTCAAGATAGGGCCTCATGCACTCTTTTGCCCTGGCTAACTTCAAACCTCAATCCTCCTGATCTCTGACTCCTGAGTAGCTAGGATTCCAGGTTTGAGCCATTGGCACCCAGCTTTACGGAACCAATCTTTACTTAAAAGCCTGATAGGAAGCACATGATACAAAATTGGGGTAGAGGGGCAGGATCCGTGTTACTTGCAGAGACATGTATAAGACAATTCATGTGGTTGGGGCTTGATGTTGTAACAGATAGATGGAAGAATGGAGAGGTGTGTTATGGGTATTCATATAAAAATATGTACATGTATATGTGTAATGGGGTACAGTCAATGATCATGTTATTCTCAAGAGTTTTTTTCTCATGAGGGGGTAAGAGCAAAAAAGTCTTCCCAAAGGAGATAACATTTATATTGCATTTTGAAAGTCATGTAAAGTAAACTAGCTAGTTCTAGTATTAGGTCAAGAAGAGCCTATAATTTATCCTTCTGCTTCATTTTTCTCCATAGAACTCACCACCATCCTACTTAGTATATTCATTCACAAATTCCTTCATTCGTCTGTCATACTTGAATATATGCTCCACAAGGCACAAATTTTGGTCTATTTTGGTTACTTCTGTGTTTCCAACACCTGGAAAAGTGCCTGAATGATAGCTAGAACTTAACTCAAACATGTGTTGAGTGAATGCACTTTGTGAGTTCTAGAATAGTTGGCTTATTTATAATTTTCCTTTAGCTTATTAAAAATATCCTAGGAAGTGGGTATGGTGGTGCACACTTATAATATTGCACACAGGAGCCTGAGATGGCAGGATCACTGTTGAGTTCAAAGCCAGCTGGGCTTCATAGTGAGACCCTACCTCAAAAAACCCAAAAAGTAAAACTAAAAATATCTCCCTAGAATTTTTATGTGCTAGGGATTGAAGCCAAAGCTTCCTGCATGATAGGCAGGTGCTCTTACCACTGAACTTACATGTACCTCAGTTTTCTCTCATATTTTTGCTTAATATTTTTCTTTCTTGTGTACTTGAATCTCTCTAGTGATAGGACATTTTAAAAATAGTATTTCTTTCTTATTTCTTTTTTGGCAATTCAAACTGAGGTTTGAACCAAAGGCTTCATACTTGCTAGGCGGGCGCTTTACCACTTGAGTCATGCCTGTAGCCTTTTTGCTCTAGTTTGGAGAGAGAGCCTTGCTTTTGCCCAGTCCATTCTGGACTGTGTCAATCCTTGATTCTCCTATTTCACACTTACCTCCATCACTGAGGTGACAGCTTTCTTCTGTGGAAATGGGGTCTTGCAAACATCTTTGCTCAGGGTTATCTAGAACTACAATCCTCCTGATCTCAGCCTCTCACATAGTTTGGGATGACAGGCATATGTCACCACACCCAGCTGTTGAGATGGGGTCTCTAGAACTTTATTTGCATGGATTGGCATCAAACCATAGTCCTTCCTGTTTCAGCCTTCTCAAGTAGCCAGCATCCAGCTTCACAGTGTTTCTTGAATGTGTGTAGCCCATGGTGGAGTGACTCTAGCTGTAAGGGCGCCTGCTTAGCAAGAGTGAGGCCTAAGTTCAAATACCAGTGGGCTCCCCGCCCCACGAAGAAAGAAATCACACAAATGTAGCAGCTTGTTCTCTGTCTTACAGGTTTTCTCTATCTTAACCACTGTTTAACGCTACACCTGCTTGGGCTATTACTCTTTTGCAGGGGGAGGGAGTATAAAGAATAATGATGGGGGGCTAAATTCAGCTATGATATATTGTAAGAACATTTGTAAATGTCACAGTGTACCCTCAGCACAACAACAAAAAGAATACTGGAAAACATTACAGAGAAATAAAGCAGTCAAAAAGTAGCTCAGGCTGACTTTGAATTTATGTAGCCCAAGGCTGCCCTCAGATATCAATCCTTCTGTCTTGCCTCAGCCACCGAGTGATATGATTATAGGTGTGTACCATCACACCTGGTTTGCTTCCCATAATCTCTTTTCTGAACAGATAAAACCCTGGAATTAATTTTCATGTCTGTATGCAAGTTAGTTTAAATTTCCCTCTGCAGCCACCAGAATTATCTAACTAAAACGGCCAGGCCTTTTCTGTGCTTAAAAATCTCTAGATTTTTAAGTGCTTCCCATCCCTCTAGAATAAAATTTCCTTAGATATATAAGCCCATGTGTAGTTTGGCTTCAGATTCATAATGGGGGAGTCTCTTACCATCTCATCATATTATAAAATTGGGTGTCTTCATTTTCACTAGTGCCTGGCATGTAATAAAGAATTCAATAATTTTTTTTGAATAAATGTCCATAAGTGTAAGAGGGAATGAGTAGCTACAATAAGAAATTTCATTGAAAATCCTTGCTGTTTAGGTAAAGGATGATATAAAAAAATCTAACACTAGCATTTAAAAAGTTTTTCCTTTGATACAGATTATTTTGGCAGTACTGGAGTTTGAACTCAGGGCCTTACTCTTGCTAGGCAGGCTCTCTACCACTTGAACCATTTCAAGTTTTCCCTTTGTACAGCTGATTTTTTTGCTATCTAGTTGCTCTGTCCTTTGTCCTCCCACTTTTCTTCATGAAGGAAAATCTCTTGGCATTTACAGTGGCATTTTAGAGGTACTTGCCCTTCTCGTGGCTTTCCTCTCTGTCATTCTCTTCATCCTAGCTCCCATCCTTGTTTTGTTAGGGATTTGTGTATATGTGTGTATGTTTGTAGCCATGTGCACCTTTTTTCAGTTTGGTGCTAAATTGTGGCCTTAAATCTTTGCATATAACTCTGAAACTCTTAGACTAAGTTATTTTCACTGAATACAGACACACAGAAACAACCCTGATCTATTTCTGACTGGGATGATTTTTATTGTGCTTTTTCCATCTTAATGTCTTTTTTTCTCAGATTGAAAATCTTCAGGAGCAGCTTAGAGATAAGGAAAAGCAGATGAGCAGCCTGAAAGAACGGGTCAAATCCTTGCAGGCCGACACCACCAATACTGACACTGCCTTGACGACTTTGGAGGAGGCCCTTGCAGAGAAAGTGAGTGACTGGCCCAGGTTCTTTGCAGAGACTTTTATTCTGCTTTCTTGTCACTTGAAAATTCATTATAAAATACAGAAGAAATCCCTTGCAGGAAAAGAGTTCTTTGCTGTTTGCGACAGAGACTTAATATAAAGAAGAAAGAAAATCCATTTTCTTGCTATTGACTTAAACACCTGCTATTAGGCAAGGTGAAGTCTACAGTAGAGGGCCACGGCTGAAATTTGTAAAGAATCAGTCACATGTTTCCTATTTGCTGTTTTCTGAGGACAAAGAAAATTTCCTTTTATTTATATGGTCAACTAGACAATACCCGCTGCTGAGTATCAGGAGGAATACATAATTAGTACTTCTTTACCTTACTACTTTGGTGCATAATACTCACAAATTTTAATCATTTATGTAGGAATAGTTTTTTCAGGAATAGTTGACTAAAGAAGTGGCCTAACATGACTTGTATTACTGTCTCAATATGTGGTTTAGGAATCTCTTTGGAACATTTTGATTGAATCTTTTTAGAGGGATGGGGGACACTGTTCCTTAACTTTCTTGGATTCAGAATGCTTCAGGTTGCCTACCAGGATCAAGTTTGCTCCCTGAATATATTTAGAAATACCACCTGGAAATACACTGGAATTGTTTCAAATTTTAAACTTTCTGAGCACCTGTCAGTAGAAGTTTTAGTGATTTTTTTCCTTGCCTTTGCTCTTTATACTCTAGGCTTCCTCCCCACCCTCCCTGCTTTTCTTCTGGGTAACTTTTTGTTATTGTCCTAAAGGTTTTTAGTTACTTGGAAACTGAGTTTTAATGGAAATATTCCAAGAGAATACTTCAGTGATATTTAGTCATATTTGAAAAAATAGGAAAAGAAACCTTGATATTTAGAAAAACCAAGCCAGATCTTTGTTACCTCAAGATGGGAAGGATGAATTCTTCAAACGGTAAATTTTTTGAAAACTGGAATGGCTTCTGAACAGAAGATAGACGTGTCAAATGTAATTAGCTGAAGCAGAATTAGGTGTGTAAGCACAAAAAAGAGCTCCTCATGTGTGGATGTGCTTTCTTACCAGGAGCGGACAATTGAACGCTTAAAGGAGCAGCGGGACAGAGATGAGCGCGAGAAGCAAGAGGAAGTGGATAACTACAAAAAAGATCTTAAAGACTTGAGAGAAAAAGTCAGCCTATTGCAAGGCGACCTCTCAGAGAAGGAGGTTAGATCACGAAAATGGAATTACTTGGATTGCTTAGTCATTGCATTGCGTTTATCTGTTGTCTTTAAATGCATATAAAAAAGTATTTGGAGGAAGATTTTCTTAATATTCTGATAGCAGGCTTTTTGTGAATATTCCTTAAGGGATATTTCAAGAAGCTTTGCAGAGACATAGATTCATTTCCTAAGTCTTTATTTACCTCTTTTGCTGTTTTTCCCATTGGTTTCTTACTTTTCATAACATTTTTATGGATCCTAAAATAACTGAAGCCCAGTTAAATTTGGAGAAATATTGTGCTAATGGTAAGAAAAGTGACAGATAAAAGGGTTTGCAAAAAAGAGGAAAACTTATTTATAACAAACTATTAGTAACAACTATTAGCCATTAAATTAGATGACTTGATGTATTTTGGTTTTGCTTTTGAAGGATCCTGTAAATGTGACCTAAATAGCCAAAAAGCCTAATGTTATATGATCAGATAATAATATATTAGGGTCTTTGGTGTCTGTCTCTAATATTGTCAGGAAAATTTATGGAAATAAATTCCTAATAGAATTTCCTTCTAAAAGGGAAAAGTGTTTATTTAAGTTAATGTAGTTACTAAGGTTGACTGCAGTTGCAGAGCTCAGTGTACTACTTTGTGAGAACTCCTTAAGTTACTGTTCAGTTGCTATTGGGAATCCATTGATACTCAAAAGGGAAAGCTAATGTTGTTTATTAGTTCATGAGTGTTCTAGAATCTTTAAGCCACTGTGATAATAAATTAAAATTTTTAGATATGTGTTTTATTTCGTTTAGCATTTACTATAGTTGTACCTTGCTTCTTTTAGGCTTCACTCTTGGATCTGAAAGAGCATGCTTCTTCCCTGGCTTCCTCAGGACTGAAAAAAGATTCACGGCTTAAGACACTAGAGATTGCTCTAGAGCAGAAGAAGGAGGAATGCCTGAAAATGGAATCACAGTTGAAAAAGGTTGAAGGAAATGTTACCGTTTTCTTGCTTTGCTTCAGATGAGAGTACAGTAGATAACTCTAGGTTGTTGATGTAGCTTAACTTATCAATGGAGTAAAAAGTCCTCAGAGTTTGAAATGCCATTTATACCTTCATTAATTTTCTTAGTATTCACAGCCTACTTTGTTTTATTTATTAGCCTCCCCAGTGTCTTAGAAAATCAAGTTTAGAGGAAGATTAAAATATGCAGCTACCCTTATAGGTGAAATGTGAGACCATAATGTAAAAATCTCAATTATATGATATTTTTTTCATGAGACTCAGACTTCCTAGAAGGAGATATTGTAACATACTGGTAATGACCTGATAGAGACATTTACTATCTATTTTCAGAGCACTTTCATCTATCAGCTTAACTGGAACCAAGGCTTTTGAGTATCTAGTTCATGTGGTTACTGACGACAAGGGGATATATATAGCCTAGTCTTGAGACTTCTTGTTTTGTTCTCTTTCCATGAATTAAATTTTGGAAATGCCAAAAATAAAATAATTGTCTGAAGCTACAAAAGGAAGAAAATCTAGTATCTTAAAGTTACTTTTGAATAAGTAAGAAAGTACTTTTTTTTGAAATTAAGGATTCTAATTATAATCAATTCAGATTTGACAGTTGACTTTCATTTTTGTTCTTCATAAGAAGTGGGTTAGTCAATTTTTGTCATTGTAACAAACACCTGAGTAGATAGTTAAGGTAGAAATACTTACGTGGCTCATAGTTTCAGAGGTTTCAACCCATGCCTGGCTGGCCCCACTGCTTCCAGGTGTGTGCTGAGGCAGAGCATCATGACCACAGGATATGGCTGGGGAAGGCTGCTCACCTCATGGTGGAGAGAGTGTGGAGAGGAAAGGAGACAAGGTGTCCCCTTTAAGGGCACATCCCCACTGACTTACTCCCTGCAAGCAGGCTGCACCTTCTAGTTTCCACCACATCCAGTAATGCATCTAATATTGTGAATCCATCAGTGGATTAGCCAGCCCATAGACTAGGTCAGAGCCCTTGGGATCCAATGATGTCCCAAAAGCCCCACCTTTTGCATTGAGGATCAAGCCATCAACACATGACTTTGGGGGAGGGGGGCATTTCATATCCAGATCATAACTAGATATTTAATACCTAAATATAAGAGATGAAGTTGTTAGATATATTTAAGGTTATAAATCTGAGAGGTAATTATCCAGAGTCATGTTTTTAACATTTTAAACTCCTGTTTGGAACAATTTTGCATTCTCTTTTTGTTTTAGATTTTTTTCTGTATATCTTGATACTTTTATAGTTGGTCATTTATATGTTCTCTTGTATTTTCAGCTTTATATTTAGACTCATGATAAAAACATAAAATTATGTTCAGGTAGAGGAGGTTGGTGGCTTTTTGTCCTTTGATTTATTTCTTGTCATCTATCCATGTCTGGTTTCTCCCATTTTTCTGTTTCATTTTGGATAATTGTTTCATTTCAATTCATTATTGATATTTTCCTATTATATTACTTACACCGTGCTCTATTCCAGGAAGGAAGTTGCCTTTGCTCCTGGTCTCTCCCTCCTCCCCGCCAATTTTCTCTGTTATTTTTCTTTCTTTCTTTTTTTTTTTTTATAATGCTATGGATGGAACCCAGGGAGTAGAGCATGGTAGACAAGAGCTGTACCACTGAGCTACACTCCCCTTCCTTCTCTGCTTTTAATTGAGCATTTTATATGATTCCATTTTTTCTTCTGTTATAGAATATCAATTATACTTCTTAAAAATTTCTTTAACTGGTTGTCCGAGTATTTACAGCATTCATAGTTTGCTAATCTAAGTCCTCTCCCATTGCTATCCTACTTCACAGACAATACAGGTACTGTATTTATAAGAGAAGATCTCCAGTTCCTTCTTCTCTTCCCTTCCCACATCATTACTGTTCATTTCCGTGTTCTCTAATTGCTCAATGTCCAGCAAATCCTCAGAATTACCATTTTAAGTGTTTTTGTGAATAGGTGAGCAGATATCATTTCTGACTCTGGATTGGGCTGTCTCTTCAGAATTTTGGTCTGTGGCATCACTTTTCTAGTAGGTGCAGCACATTCATTGATGATAGGTTTATCGAGCTTTTGTGTTGCTATACATTGGGAGTCATGATGCTAGAGGTCTTTGAATGCTGGTGCTGATGTAGTTCCATTGGGAGCACACCTACTCATTCTTATGACAATTATTTGTGAGTTTTGCTATTGTGAATAAAATCTAAAATGCTAATAAAGACGGCTTGGGAAGATGCGGACCACAAGGTGACCTAAGCGGTACGTGGTATTCCCACAGACAACCCTGGGCCAGATCAGCATAGCCCCCTGGACAGACAGACCCCCACCCAGGAAAAAAGAAAAAAAAATAATAAGCAATAACAACAAAAAAGACACGTAACAAAGAGGGCAGGGTTGCCCTGAGCGCCGAAGATGGGGGAAGGGGAAATCCCTCACAACAAGCCGGCTGGAGAAGGCAGGAGTGGCAGCACACGTCCAGCAATCAGGAGCAGGAAAGCTTGTAAAAGCGGCAGTGGGAGGAAGACTCCACAGGAGAGTGGGGTAAGACCCACTTCCGACGTGAGCTGTAAATAAACACGCAGACCTGAGAAAGCGGGTGCAATGTCACCTCCCCCAGTGTGCTTGGAAAGGGGAAAGCTTGTAGCAGTGGCGGTCGAGCCCAGGAGAACTCTAAGTAAACAAAGCCTGAGGGGCTAGGTGAGTGTTAAGCTCACTCCTGAGATCTGCATAAATAAAGCCTCCAACACCATCAGGCTGACAGCAGCTGGCAGGTGAGCCACAGCCTCAGACAGCCATTCACAGAACTGTCTCCAGACTCTTTTTTTTTTTTTTCTCCCCACCTTTGATGAGACAACAACCCAACTACACCTGCATGCTGAAAAACTTACTGAAACGGTACTGCATTTGAAAGTGGGACACTTTGTGGGTTTTTTTTGTTTTGTTTTGTGCTGCTTTATTTTGGTTTTTTTTTTTTAGTTTTTTTCCCCTTTGATGAGACAGCGACAGAACTACTTCTGAGACACCATCTCCAGGACTGAAGGCTGAGGAACTAACACCAAAATTATTAAGACTGAAACTTTATTGCATTTGAACTTGGAGATTTTTTTTTCATTTAATTATTTTTTATTTTTATTTATTTTTTATTTTCAATCCTCTCTCTTGTCTCTCTAATGCCTGTTCAGCTTACTGTTGATTAGTACACTATCTTTCCCTGTTTATATCTTTGAAACTTTTGTTTGTTTGTTTTGGTTTTTTTCTACTTGTTTGTTTTTCCCTTTTCCTTTAACTTCTTTGCTTTCCATCTCCTCTCACCCTTCCATTCTAAATATCACCATTGTTAATATTACAAACTAGAAAATAGTTAATTGCACAATGGACAGAGACAATAACAACACCAAGGGCAATGACGGGAAGACAGAAAAAACAGGGAAACCAGTTTTCCCACAGCAAAAAAAATTAGTACAGGAACCAGAGGGAAATGAAGAAAACAGATACTCAGATCCAGACTCAACAAAATGAAGATAAATTATGCCAAAGAACCCAATGAAGCCCACAAGAACAATCTAAAAGAAGAAATACTACAGGTAATCAATGAGAATTTATAGAGATGATCCTGGATATGGTCAAGTAAAATGTACAGGAGGTACTCAAGGAATTCCAAGACAACAAAACTAGAGAATTTGAAAAAGCACTAAAAGAAACCATAGAAACACTGTATAAACACCAAAGTGAAACAAAGAACATGGTAATAAATAGATAAATGAACTCAGGACAAAAATAGACAACACTAAGATTCCACCTCAGGCCTGTTAGAATAGCCATCATTAGCAACACCACCAACAACAGGTGTTGGCGAGGATGTGGGGAAAAAGGAACCCTCTTACACTGTTGGTTGGAATGTAAACTAGTACAACCACTCTGGAAAAAAATTTGGAGGCTACATAAAAAGCTAAACATTGATCTACCATTTGATCCAGCAATACCACTCTTGGGGATGTACCCAAAAGACTGTGACACAGGTTACTCCAGAGGCACCTGCACCCCCATGTTTATTGCAGCACTATTCACAACAGCCAAGTTATGGAAACAGCCAAGATATGCCCCACTACTGACGAATGGATCAAGAAAATGTGGTATCTATACACAATGGAATTTTATGCAGCCATGAAGAAGAATGAAATGTTATCATTCGCTGGTAAATGGATGGAATTGGAGAACATCATTCTGAGTGAGGTTAGCCTGGCCCAAAAGACTAAAAATCATATGTTCTTCCTCATCTGTGGACGTTAGATCAAGGGCAAACACAACAATGGGATTGGACTTTGAGCACATGATAAAGTGAGAGCACATAAGGGAGGTATGAGGATAGGTAAGACACCTAAAAAATTAGCTAGCATTTGTTGCCCTCAACGCAGAGAAACTAAAGCAGATACCTTAAAGCAACTGAGGCCAGTAGGAGAAGGGGACCAGGAACTAGAGAAAAGATTAGATCAAGAAGAATTAACCTAAAAGGTAACACACATGCACAGGAAATCAATGCGAGTCAACTCCCTGTATAGCTATCCTTATCTCAACCAGCAAAAACCCTTGTTCCTTCCTTTTATTGCTTATACTCTCTATTCAACAAAATTAGAGATAAGGGCAATATGGTATCGAGGGGTTGGGGGGGGAGAGAGAGGAAGTGAGGGCTAAGGGAGGGGGTGGGGGAGGGGGGAGAAATGAGCCAAACATTGTATGCACATAGGAATAAAAATAAGTAAATAAATAAAATGCTAATAAAATGAAATACAGTTTATTGCCTATATCTGGGAACCAGATTTTGTTTTCTTAACTAACACATAGGTATTTATGAATCAGTAAGTTAACTATTCCCAGGAATACCTGAACAAATCTTTGGGGTGTGTGAATTAATAATATACCTTTCTCATAAAACTTTCTAGTTCTGTAATATGTCAGATGTACTAGAAAATTTTCCTGCAGTAGTAGTGTCTCTAATTCTCGCTTATATTGGTAATTGCTCCCCTGGAAAGAAAACAAAGCCCTTTGACTTTAATGAGGGTTTTTGTGAGAGTTGGAGCAGATTTTAGATACTCTATTTCAGATTTTACTTCATTCTAGGGAATGCAGTTTCCTAACGTTATTGTATTTAAAAGTAGGGCAAATATCATTATAGAGTTTTAAAATTTGATAGACTTTTAAATCTTCTTAGCAGTTTTTTATGTCTAAAGTTTTGTTGTCTTTGTCTTCTATATTAGTAGGCATTTTTTGCTTTATAGTTTATTTGTAGATACTAGTACAAATCATAGATTTAAATTGTTTGTAATATATTCTTCTTCCTGAAAACCATAACTGGTATACTTTTATATTTATTCAAAATGCTACTATGTTATTAGCATTGACATTTTCAAAGTAAAATATGACTGGCCTGAGGTAATGTTAATGAAGTCATTTTTGACCAAATTATATGTTTACACCTATATCCTATACCTGAATTTTGGTATTCTGTTTTCACCATGAGGTAATAACCTTAGAATTATTAATGAAAGGATTGAAAGTCAACTTTTGAGTTATAAGAATTTTAAGAAATGCTAAATATTTTTCAGTATGTATTTCTTTTTTTCTTTTTTTGAGGTACTGGGGCTTGAACTCAGGACCTATACCTTGAGCCAATTAACCAGACCTTTTTTGTGGATGATTTTTTTGAGATAAAGTCTCTTAAACTATTTGCCTGGCGTGGCTTAGAACTGCAATCCTCGTGATCTGTGCCTCCTGAGTAGCTAGGATTACAGGCATGAGCCAGCCACACCTGGCCCAGTATTTGTTTCTATACTGATTTTTTATTTCTAAGCTTTTAAAAAAAAGTTTTGACTTTTCTTTTTCTTGTTTATCCATTTAAACCTAGGGCCTTAGACTCACTGGACAGACCTCTACCACTTGGGCCATGCCCCCAACTCACTTACCCTATTCTTAAACCATTTTCCATTTCCTTCTTCTTCTCTCTAATTCTTTTCCCTTTAGTATCATGAAATGGTGTTGAACCACTCTTTGAAGACAGTAAGTAACCTGGTAAAGTGGTGTCTTAAAGGCCTGGTTCATGTATTTCTCTGTATTTTTGAATGGATGACCTTTTTCGTTTTTATTTTTCGTTAATTACCCTATGGAAAAGTGAATGTACTTAACCTCATCTCTCCATCAAATCAAAACTAGATTTTTTTAAAATTTTATTTTTTTCTTTTATTCATATGTGCATCTAATGTTTGGGTCATTTCTCCCCCCTCCCCCCCAGCCCCTCCCTTACTTCCCCACCTCCTTCCTTTCTCCCCACTACCCCCTTTCTACCAGGCAGAAACTATTTTGCCCTTATCTCTAATTTTGTTGAAGAGAGAGTATAAGCAGTAATAGGAAGGACCAAGGGTTTTTGCTAGTTGAGATAAGGATAGCAGGGAGTTGACTTGCATTGCTTTCCTGTGCATGTGTGTTACCTTCTAAATTAATTCTTCTCAAATTAACCTTTTCTCTAGTTCCTGGTTCCCTTCTGTTGGCCTCGGTTGCTTTAAAGTATCTGCATTAGTTTCTCTGCATTGAGGGCAACAAATGCTATCTAGTTTTTTAGGTGTCTTACCTATCCTCATACCTCCCTTGTGTGTTCTCGCTTTATCATGTGATCAAAGTCCAATCCCCTTGTTGTGTTTGCCGTTGATCTAATGTCCGCCTATGAGGGAGAACATATGATTTTTGGTCTTTTGGGCCAGGGTAACCTCACTCAAAATTATGTTTTCCTGTTCCATCCATTTACTTGTGAAAGATAACATTTCATTCTTCTTCATGGCTGCATAAAATTCCATTGTGTATAAATACCACATTTTCTTAATCCATTCGTCGGTGGTGGGGCATCTTGGCTGTTTCCATAACTTGGCTATTGTGAATAGTACTGCAATAAACATGGGTGTGCAGGTGCCTGTGGAATAACCTGTGTCACATTCTTTTGGGTATATCCCCAAGAGTGGTATTGCTGGATCATATGGTAGATCAATATTTAGATTTTTAAGTAGCCTCCAAATTTTTTTCCAGTCGTTTTACTCAAAAGTAGATTTTTTTGAATGACTTTTTGATGTGAAATGAATGTAGAAAAGTTTCTGTAAGACCAAAAATCTTTCCTAAACTTTGGTAAGATTTGGTTTTCTGTGGTCTTTGCTTTGTTTATTCGGAGCTCCTTCTCTTCTTTCCCTTTGCTATCACTGTATTGTGACTTTTAATGCTCTGATTTAGGGTAGAATTTTGCTACCACATAAAAATCCATGTCTGTCAATAGAATTTTATTTATAGATCATGCTTATTAACTGAACTTTATCATAGCTGAGGAAACTGAAACAAAAGAAATTGGTAAAGAGTTTAATCTTCAGTATGTAGTGTTGCTTCCACCACGTTAGGCTTGGAAATTTTTTAAAAGAAATATTTGTAACCTATTTTGGAAAGTTTCTCTTTTTTATAAAGTTGCAAAGGTCTTTAAAGTAGTTTAATGTTCCTAGAATTCCATTTTAAAGTCCAATTGAATTCAGCAAGAGTTTAGATACAAACTTCTGATATAAAATTTGTTTTTATAGTAGTAAGAGAAGATTCATAATATCTTTGATTTTTTTTTCCTAACTTGAATTCTTTTTATATTTAAAGTTTGTCATTTGATATTCTGAATCATCCTGTGGACTACATTTAACCTTATAATTAATTATTGATTATTTACTCCCTTCCCTTCAGATATTTTTCTTTTCCTGTCTTTAGGCCGATGGGCTGCTGTGAATCAAATGCACACTCTTACCCTACTTTGCGCATATTCATTTGTTCAACAAGTAATTGAGTTTCTACTCTCTGTCAGTTGCCATGGTGGATATTGTGGATAGATATAGTAGCAAACAAGACAGGCGCTGCCCTTGACCTCGTAGATGCCTCATTTGTCAGGGAAAGTAGACACTCACGCAAAGAGTTCTGGTAAATCAGTGTGTTATGAAAGTGCACATCAAAGAACACCAATCTAGGTCAGGGGCGTGGAGGGCTTCCTCATACAAGTGACATTTACTAATGTGGAGACCTCAAAGTTAGGATACCCTGGCATGTATGGAGACCTAGAGCACTGGTGTGCAGCAGTTATATTTGTGGACTTCCAAGTAATACACTCATAATCACTAATCATTAGAGATATTCCAGTGGTGTTGAATAGAATCTGGCCTTCAAGTTTGTTTACATGGTCATTTTTTGTGCCCCCACTCCAAACCTTCTTCTGTTGTCTGTCACCTTTTTTTGTGGAGAGTGGGGATTTTCTGTCATTCCTGCTTTTATTTGCATCTTCAGTATCTTTTTTTAAATTGTTTTTCTTCCTCTTGGTAACATGACCAGATTTCTATAAAGTCACTCCTGATCTTGTTGCTTCTTTCTCTTTCTATTAGACCTAATGTACCTAATGTATTAAAAGAGGATCTTTTTAATCTCTCCTTTCCGTTGAAGGTTAACTGCTATAGAAACTACCCTCCTGCCTTTACATACAAAACTGGCAATACAACGTGAAATAACTGATTTTAGACATTGGACAACACCCAGTTGAGAATAGTGATCTGTTTTTACCTTCTAAACTTACATAGTTTTTGTTTCTTAAAATATACTTCAAAATGCAAGTAAGTTAAAGATTAGGGAAGCCAGTATTTAAGATAGACAAAATATTTTTCACCAAAAGTGAAGCCTGAAAGAAATGAACTCCATAAAAGTTTAGCTATTTCTTCTGTGAAGCATTATCTTAATTTACATAAATATTTATTGTTTACTCAGGGTGCTTTGCACCAGAGATTTCTGAATATTTCTGAAGAATGTATCTTTGCCCCTTGAATATTTTTTCAAAGAATTTTTGACACATTTAATATAAGAAGTATTAAATTGCTTTATTTTTCTTTTTCTTTTCTTCTTTTGCGGGACTGGGACTTGAAATCAGGGCCTGTGCCTTGAGTCACTCCACCAGTCCTTTTTTGTGATGGGTTTCTTTGAGATAGGGTCTCAGATACTATTTACCTGGCTGGCTTTGAACCTAAATCCTCCTGATATCTGCCTCCTGAGTAGCTAGGATTATAGGTGTGAGTCACTGGTGCCCAGTTTAAATTGCTTATTGAATAAGAAAAAAAACCAAAACATCTTAGCTTGCCTTCTCATTAAATACATTATACATGCATGGCTTTAGAGATTTAGCAGGAAAATAAGACTTGAAAATTCATTTTAAATCATTGGAACTTCTTTGTATTCCAAAATGCATTGATGTTATTAGATGCCTTTTACAACAGAATCTGACTAAAACTTCTCCTAGTTCTTGATTTCTGATTCCATTTGTTTGTCCCATGGTATCTTGTGAATTCTGAATCCTGGGTTTAGGGAGGTGCCCGTTGAGGGTAGCCATTTTCTTGCCTAACTCCATTTTCTTGGCATCACATTTGCAGTATCTGTATATTTCTAGATTCTTAGGGCCATGTGATTCACATGTGATTGGTAAAGCAAGATGTAGGGGAAGGAAATGGATGGAGGTGAGGGTCCAATGAGAATTAGGTTTCCGCATTGGTACCAACTGTATAAGATTGGCAATGAGTCCTTGGTGGGCCTTTTTGGTACCACCTTGGCAAGACCAATAGCAGTCTTATACTTTGTTAGTACATCTTTGTTAGTAAACTGTGAAGCCTTAATTGGCTTATTACAATTTTTGGCCTAATAATAAATATTCAGAGATACATTTCTTAAGCAGAGAAAACCGTTATAAATTGAAGAGTAGCTATTAAATATTTGATAATATTCTATTTAAATTGGAATATGAACAGTTCTTTGGCTCATGGTTTACCCAGGTGCCACTGCATGTGTATCTGATAGACTTTGAACACTTGTGTTTTCTTTGTAGGCACACGAGGCAACGTTAGAAGCCAGAGCCAGTCCAGAGATGAGCGACAGAATACAGCAATTGGAGAGAGAGATTGCCAGGTATAAAGATGAATCTAGCAAGGCCCAGGCAGAAGTTGACCGACTCTTAGAAATCTTGAAGGAGGTGGAAAATGAGAAGAATGACAAGGATAAGAAGATAGCCGAGTTGGAAAGGTAAGGAAAGGGAAGCTAAATGGGACTTACTGGGTTAGAGAAACTAAAGTATGGTTTTAAAACTATATACTTTCCAGGATATACTTGTTTCTGTTTTACCTGCCTCTGAATTTAGGTTCTTGAATGCTTACTATTACTTTATTACCTACTTGTTATTCGAAGTCAGTATAACTTCTTCATTGCAGTCTCTAAAATGCAACATAGAATGAGAATAAAGTGATGAAATACAGACTTCAACATCATTGACAAGAGAAAGTATTCATTAATTAAGAAATTAAAGTTTTCTGTTAGCAAGTAAAAAAATCCAAATAGCTACTTTTATTATTTATTTCTCTATAATGAGCAAATGATCCTCAATTATAAAAAATTAATATTTTATCATTGGTTTAAACTTATTTTTTGCTGGACTGATGCTCTTTTGGGCTGTGAATTTTTAGACATTATACTTTGTAGTGTGGAAAAACAAGTTATTAGTTCATAGATAAAAATTAGAAGGAGGTCATTTTAGTGATAATTGAGGAGACTCAGATGTGATTTTTATGAGACTTTGAATTTTTCAAGATGGGCTGTACTTGAACAGGTCCTGCCAGACATCTCCGTTAGGATTTTCTTTGTATTATTATTATTATCGTCATTATCATTTTATACTGAAGATCAGGTAGATAGCCTAGTAACCTCTTCCTTTTTACTTACATTTAACATTAACTCACAAGTCCATAGAAACAGCTATTCCAGTAGAGCGTCATAATTAACCATGTTCTTCTAAACAGCCAAAAGGACTGATAGTGATAGAATCCATGTGAATGTATGGGAACTGAGCCTTAGGAATCATTTATTTTCATGCTTTTGAAAGGCTAAGAAGTATTAAACTACTTCCACAAATTGTTTCCTATGTTTTAAATTTTGTGGGGGATTACTGTTAGGTTCCTTTGAAGTTACTATTTTCTTCTATTCTGTATCTGTAGAAATTTGATTTTCAAGAAACCAAAATAACAAGGTCCAACCCTCATAGTTCTCTACTGTACTGAAAGTGTGAATAGCGTAGGCTCATTACCTGCTCTCATTTTTCTCTCATTTTGAAAGTAACTCTCTTTGTTTTATCTAGTTCTAGATAAGACAAATGGATAAAATCTTTTAAATCAGAATTTAAAAATTACCAAAGTACCAAAACTTCAAAAAGATAGACTGCATTTTTTACTCATCTTAACTCTTTGCCCTGTGCCCTTTTCCTGGGGTGCATGCATGTGCTCGCTCTCTCTCTCTCTCTTTCTCTCTCTCTCTCTCTTCCTTATATATCTACCTACATACACCTCTTTTGGCTTTTATATGGATCTGAAATCAACAGCAGTACTACATAGATTAAAATATAATACCGCTTATTGATTAATGACATCCCACTAAGTATATTTCAGAAAAGAAATTCCTTAATAAAGTTTTTTTCTTTGTTTTTATTTTTTACATTAAAATATCTATATTTGAAGTTACTGCTCCCTATTCCATGGAGCTTGCTTGAAAAAATGTTTTTGATTCACTTTTAGGTCCAACACTGAGTTTGAGAGATGAACATGGTGTGAAGGAGATTAGAAATAGGACTAAGATTGTACCTTGAATCCAGGGTACCACAAGCACCAGCTTTTATTAGCTGCTGTATTTTTCACATATTAAGAAAGACTTGTAAAAAAATGATTTCTTCTCACAAAATGTAATTTTTAATAAGTTGTAAAAGGCTCTGTGCAGTTCTATCCTCTGGTCATGCAGCTTTGTAATTTTGAGGATTTGACACAAGTTTCTTGCATACAAAACAAATACAAAAACAGAAGTACCCCCAGAACAAAACAAAACAAAATCCAGCTTCCCTAACTCAATTTTTTTCTGTAAGTTTTGTCATTTGTTTCTCAATTGCATGGTTTAAGATATTGAATAAGTAACAGTATCATAAAATTTGTAAAAGAGGTTTATCATGAATTTTATGGAAGAAGAAACCAGGATCCAAAGAATTTATTCCTAAAGTTCCACAGGGTTGAGTTAGAGCTAATAGAGTAGGGCATTTAAATTTCAGATCAGTTTTCTTTCTGTTCCACCAAGATTAGTTATGTTCTTTTGGGACTTAACGGGAACCTTTTTTTTGAAGGCTCCCTACCTCTCTGAGATTTATCTTGGCCCAGTGTTGTAAGCAAAAGTGGCCATGTACAGTATTATGGCTTTCTTAGAAATTAGGAAGATTTTCATTTTACTTTGCCTTTGGATGCTGTTTTTATAGACCAAGCTTTGCTTATCGTAGGAGGTAATCAGTACATTCTGTGTTAAAGACAGCTACGATTTTGTCATACCTTTTCTTCTCATATTGAGGCTGAGGTGCATGTGTGTGGCTGCTGTGTTTCTTACTAACCATTTGCTTCTCGTGTTGCCATTCCACTACTTCCTATATGTGGGTGTCTTGTCTCTCTGTAATTAATCATTTTGAATTTCTTCACTTTCCTTTTGATTTGTGTTATCACGGTTCCATTGGGATTTTTTTTTTTTTTTTTGTCTCTTTGTGTTCCTTGGCCATGCTGTTTCTCAGAAAGCCAGTCTCCCGCAAATTGTGCCATCCACGCCAGCTTTCTGTCCCTGCACCGTCAGGGTGGTTTGTTTGGGACTTCCTGGGAAAGTGAGTGTCATACAAGGCTACAGTGTCATGCTAGAGTAAATTCTGCTGCTGCTCTTGCTACTGCTGGGGCTTGCCTGGGATTGTGCTTGATCAGAATTAAAGAACAGGCAGTTACGCATCAAGTTGAACTGCACCTCTTAGATTCTCTGCTTTTGGATAAAACCAGCCTGTGTTCTCTCTGGTAAGGTCTGTATTGCTAGTTGTAATTGTTTCAGTCTTTGTTTCTAGTTCATCTTTAACGTGGTTGTTACTATGCTGGAATGTTCTTTAAAGTAGCCCCTTAACTGAAAAAAGTGTAATGCCACACTGTAATTCAGCATTGAAATTCATTTTGGAATCTTCTAAGTGTAGAAAAGAAAACAGACTAGTATAGTCATAAAAATTCTTAATGGTCTTTGCATTTCCTAATACTTATATATAAGGGTCGCTACCATTAAAAGGTTTAAACTCGGTCAGGAAGAATTCCCAGACCTATTTTTTGTAATCTAGAGAAACAAATGAACAGTCCCTTCCCACGTTGGCCCTTGTAGAAAATAGTAGTTCTGATCAGAAGATAATTTAGTGTTACACCATCCTCTTGACTTAGTGTAATTTTCAAAAGAGGATTAGGTAAGCTTACCCATATATCTGCAAATATCAGGTATTTTCCCAATTAAATCTAACTACTTTTAAGTTAATATTCCTTACTGTGGTGCATATCAGTTGGAATTCAACAAGACAAACAGAATGGGGTAGGGACTGAATGAGACAATGATCTTGCATGATTAAGTTTGAGGTCCTTTCAAGATGAAGAAAGATCACAAGCATGATGGAACTTGTGTAGGCACAAGCCAGAGCAGAGGTACACAAGCAGAATTTCTTTTCTCTCCTGGGAAAAACCATAGCCCTGTTTCCAAGACCTTCTAAAGGATTAAGTTATGCCCACTCAGATTATCTAGGATAATTTCCGCTACTTAAGTGATTAGGGTCTTTAAAGCAAATACCTTCACAGCGGCATCTAAGATGAGTGTTTCATTGACTCACTGGACACTGTAGCTTAGCTGAGTTAATACTTAAAGGAATCCATCATCCGGTGGCTTTAGATATTTTGTATGGAAAAAAAAAAAAAAAACAAGAGTTTGAAATGTCCTGATATAAATAGATAGATTAGCCTCAATTACTACTGTAATTGAGAATTTGTCTTCTAAAATGAGCATGTTAGTGTTTCTGTTTAGATTCATAATAGGCTTTTCTCTGGCATAATGTTTAAGATATTTAGAGAGAAGAGTACTATTCGAATTCTGATAGTACTTTTTCCAGAATCTTGAAAGAATTGTTTATTGGCTGCTCTTTCATTCATGCTATCCATTTTAGCTAAATAACCATGTGATGGTAGTAGATGGGGGACATTGTCCCTGTGCCATATATTGCATTTTGACTTTATGTTTGCCTTATTATTTTGCTTTTATGTTTGCTTTATTACCTTGTTTCCAGCAGCAATTCTCAGTTTTCCTCTTGATTGGATTCAGCATGACATTCAGAGACTGGCAGCCATTCTCTCAATGTCACATAATTTAGTTAGCAAGAATTGCCTTTGACTTACTGAAGTTAGGATTCTAAAGAACAATAGAGTCTGTTATTCTGTCATCTAAACAATTAAAGGAAAATGTAGATTTACTGTATTTCCCAATTTGAGGGAATATAAGAACTGAAATTTTTAGTGAATATAGGTCTTGTTTGGATTGTGTTTTAAAATTTAGCACAGGGATTATTTCTGGGATAGTCAGGGAAGGCCTGTGTGGGAAGGGGATGTTTAAAGCCGACACTTGAAGAAGAGCTCTGTTCTGTAGCAGTCCTTAGGAGCCCTTAAAAAACATCCCAATGACTTTATGCCCATTGTAACCATATTGTTTGAGGTTTGACAAGTATGTACACCTGTCTAACCACTGCCGTCAAAATTCAGAACATTTCCCATTTCCTTCACCCCAGAAATGTATCTTTGCAACCAGTCTCCTCCCACCCCTAGTTCCAGGCACTGCAGATCTGAGAAGCACTTTGTCAATCAATTTTATACATTACACTTCGCTTCCTCCTATTGCCTTAGCTTTAAGTTTGCTTCTGTCTTTTATTTTGGGTTTGGAGTTTAGAATAAAATAGATTATTGCCAATAAAACATCAGTTTCTCTTCTAACAACCCCAACACTATAATTCCCTATGTCCCCACCTCTAAGAGTAGGTCCTGATTCATTTGAGTTAACAAAGGTATTTCTTTTCTGGTGACTAGTTGTGCACTGAGTACATAATGCATGAGTGATTTGAAAAAAAGACCAGAGAGGCTTTGGGGAATAATTTTCTTATAAAAAAGACTTGAAAGAAGAAAGGAGACCCCTTTCTCCTGGACATTCTCATGTCTGGAAGTGATGCTCAGAACTGCTGTTAAGTACCTTCTACCAGTCATCCAGATGATGACAGAGTCAGAGAAAACAGTGATCTGGATAGGCCTCTATACCTGCTCAAACCCAGCAAGAAAGAGA